CTGAAGAACTGCTCCTTCCCCTTCCACTCTGATATCCCAACATCCAGGTGTGTTGGGAACGTTCCAGAATGTCCATGGAATCACAGGATGATTTGGGATGGAAGGGATCTTAAAAACCTTTTAATCCAACCCCCTACTATGGGCAGGGACACTTTTTGAGCAGAATTCCCAGGGATTAAAGAGCAGAAACTCCCAGCCATAAATAGATCCATATTCTTCAGGAATTGTCACTATCTCTTGGATATTACTTCGGAATAATAACTTGGAAAAATTATCTTCCTTACAAATTCAAGGAGAGTCAAACTTTTGTTGGAACAATCAGCCAAAATAACTCCCAAATCCATAGTTTTTGTCCTGGGAAATAATCACAGCACTTCTGGATGGGTCACATTTTCCTGGGATGCTCTGGGATGACACATTAATCCCGCAGGGATTGCTCACTGGGATCTGGAATCCCGGGAGGAAAACAAAGAGCTGTCACTTCCTTCTATCCCAACAATCCACCCTTTGGAATGGGAGATTAAACACAACACACTTGGAGCGGCTTCTGTCCACAATTCCAGAGGTTTCTTGTTCCCGAGGGTCGGATTATTCCCTGGAACATCTCATTCCTTGTTAGAGTTTGACATCCCACAATTAATTTGGGAACACCCATCAAGTCATAAGGATTTAATCACTCACCAGCTCATTATCTCCTCGGATGGATCACGGGATAATTTAGGGATTAGGGATAATTTAGGGATTAATCCCAGAGCACAAGCTCCAGGTGTTTGTAGGGAGAGGCGGGAAGTTGGATCCCTAAATCCCCACTTAGGCTGACACTAATTCCGCCTTGGAATTCCACACAATCCACTCCCTCAAGGAACTCCCTGGGAATCCTGAAGCCAAGTCCTTTTCCAGGGATCCTTGGGAGAATTCCCACAGCACCCACTGAGATCTCCCAAGTTGCTGCATCATTATTATCCCTTAAAAACTCCAGTTCCAAGGATATTTTGAATTAAATACTCCAAATTCCATGTTCCCAAGATAAGGACTAATCACAGTTTGTTATATCCCACAAAACCCCTGGAATTTGGGTGCCAAACCTTATTTTTATGCCCTTTTTAAAACCTTATTTTCATTATTAATTGTAGAGATGATATGGAAAAAAAAAAATAAAGGCCACAAATTTACCAAGAAATTGGAGTTTAAAGGGAAAATTCCCAATAAATCCACACAGTCCTGGATTTTTATATATAATAAATCCACTGTACTGGATTTATATATATATAAATATATATATTACATTATATATATATAAATATATATATTATATATATTATTATACATTATATATATTACATGTATTATATATATTATATTAGGTATATGTAATATTATATATAATAATACAATATATAATATAATCATTAATATATAACATAATAATATATTAATATTAATAATATATTATAAAGAGTATAATTATTAAAAATATTATAATATATCAACATGCTAATAATATATTAATTATAATTATTATATTGATTATAATAATTATTAATTATAATATATTAATGTATAATATATAATATTGTACTATAGATTTATATTATATTTTTTTATCTATATAAAAATTTATATTTATTTATATATAAAAATATATATAAAATAAAAACATAAATCTATTGTACTGGGGGCAAAGAGAGGGAGAAAAAGCCCCCAGAAATGGGATTTAAATGAGATTCCAGCCAACAAAACAAAGTCTAAGAAATATTATTTATTTCTCTATCGTTTCCTACATGAAATTCCTAATTTGGAGATAATTTTCCACGTAGAAAAACAAGGTTGTTACTCCACCACAGGTTGGTTCAGAAGGATCTGATGGAGGGAATTTTGATTTTATGACACTTTGAGAGAGTTATGATTCTGATCTTTTATTATTTTAATTTCCATTGATTTATTATTTTAATTTCCACTGACTTATTATTTTAATTTCCAGGTCAAGGTTATTTTCAAACAGGGAAAAAGGAAAAACGCTTTTTAATAATCTTTAATGTCATCCTTTAATAATCAGTCAAATAATAAAGGAATAAACTGTGGGATTCCAAAAACATCAGCAGTGGGATTCCAAAAAATCCAGGGAATATTTTTGACAGGATAACTGAAGTGGGAAATGTTCCTATTATGGGTTTATAATTATTACAGTAATAATTTAGTCCTATAAAGGACAAATAAATCAGGTTAAACAACCATTTTAGCAATGAAATCAATGAGAGTTGAAGAGAAACCACGTTAAGGGTTTATTAATCAGGATCCATAAATTATAATTTATAAATCAGATATATTTTAAATTTATTAGTATATATTTTATACATACATTTTATATTAACAAAATTTTAATTTATAGATATATATTTTTAATTATTTTTTATCATTTATAAATCCAAATTAAGCTTAACTTAATGGACAGGGCCTAGAGGTGAAATAAATACAGTAAAGATGATAAAAATTAACATTTTGTATCATTTTTCCTCTTTTCACTGGTTTTGGAAAATTTCAAATATCAGCACCCAGTTCACAACAACTTGTTGCCTTAATTCCATAATTATTTACATAAATTATTTATAATATATATATTATTCTATTAGATTATATTAATTATTTTATATTATTTTATATTCTATATATAACATATAAAAATACATCCTATAAAGTATAAATAGTGTATATGTATTAATATATATTATAATATAGATGATAAATAATGTATTATATTATATTATAATGGATATTATAAATATTATTTATGATAAATATTATAATACTTTTACATTTATATATTATACCATGTGTTATATATTATCAATATATATTATATATGATATTATTATTAATACATACAATATATATTATATTAAAAGTATATAAATATGTAAGTAGATATAAACATATACAAACAGTATAATTTTTACTTTATATTGTATCATATTATATATTATATATATTTATAACATATAAACAATACACATAATACATATTACATTAAAAAAATAAATATATATAAATATATACAACTATATAGTATTATACTTCGTATTTTATCTCATTTTATATTATATATTATTATACATTATACTATATACTATAATAGCACAATATATAATATTTATAAAATACAAATATAAAATATGTGTAATATATATTACTGTATATATATATTACTGTATATGATTTTAGATTACTTTACATTATATATTAATAAATATTCATAATAGACATTATAAATAATATCTATAAATAATCATGGAATTAAGACATCACATGATCACGAGGAAAACCTGGAACCAAAGCTTGGGACAGACCCCATGGAACACAAAAATCACCTGAAAACCAGCTCCTAAAAAAAACCTGCTCCTGGTAGCACCATCCACCTTCCCCCAGGCCCAGGGAGGCAAAAAAATCCTAAATTAGCAAAGAAATCTGATTTTTTTAAAATAAAATCTCAGCCCGGAGCCCATTTTCACACCCCAGGAGCCGCCCCAGCCCTACAAAACCACCAAATCCTCAGCAAGACAGCATTTTGCTCTCAAAACTGTGAAAATATTGATATTTAATGCAGCCTCACAACTTGTGCCATAAAACAGGATCATCCTAATCCATATCCTAAAGTCCTTCCCTGGATGTGCAGCCCTGGAATTCTCAGGGAGCCCAT